GGAATGGCTTCTGGAGGAGGGGCTCTAAGAGCTGGGGCTTTGAAGGATGAGTAGGAGTTTGCCTGATGGAGCCAGGCCCCGATTCCAGGCCTCCCCAGACTAGAGAGATGAGTGGATGGAGGGAGGGTTCCCCTCCCCTCCTTCCTCTTCCTGGGAACAAGCATAAGTAGTTTCCTTCCTGAGGTCAGGAGCTCTGCAGGACAAAGGCTGTTGACCCCGGGGACAGGTATGCCTGGTGGGTGTGCCCATTCTCTGTTTCAGTGTGCAAGAGACAATGTATCTCTGAGTGTGAAGAGTATCGAGGGTGTGCAGGAGCTTCCAGGGGCACGAGAGGGTAAGGGGTGTGATTGGGGGAGCTCCTGAGTGCAAGTCAGAGGGCGTGTGTGCACGTGTGCAAATGCTAGTGTGTGAGTGGTAGCGCTCGAGGGTGATCATGTTTGTGCATAAAATGCCCACGTGTGAGAGTGAAACACACTAGCATGTGAGTGTGGTGGTGTTCAGGTGTGTGAGTGTTTGAGGGTGTGTGAGAACACTGAGTGTGTAAGCGGGATGGCATCTGAGTGTGCAAGAGCATGTCGGAAGTATCTGAGGGTGGGTGTGCAAGTGTTTGGGCACATGTGAGAGGGTGTGTGTGTGAGTGGGTCAGAGCATATGTGAGCATGGGAACGCTGGGTGTGAGGGTGAGCCCCCAAGTGTGCCGTGTGAGTGCCCGCCTCGCCTTGACACAAGCACACACATCGTGCACACCTGGTCCCCTCCCTGTGCCCTCCGCCACACCTGCTCCCTGTCAGGTCTGTGCCAGAGACAATCCAGTTGGGTGACCCCCATACAGAAAGGCCCATTGTTAACAGACGCTCATCAGCTATGCCTGCCGGGCCCCCTCCACCAGCGGCCCCCTGCTTTCCTGCCCCCCATCAAAGCTCTGGGGGGTCTGCGGCTCCAAGGGCTCCTGTGGCTGGACCATCTCAGGGCTGGAGACCCATCAACCCTCTCAGCCCCCTGTTTTAGGCTGGTGCCGTGCAGGGGTCTTGTTCGAGTCTAACAGGGAAACCGAGGCACGCCACTCCAAGACTTGGGTGTGGGGACAAGCAGGGGGCTGGGGGTCCAGAGAGGGCTTTGCCCACCTGAGGTCTTGAGCCTGGGTGGGTTTCCCTGCCTGTCTCCCCTTCCCAGGTTGGGTGAGGCCACTAGCGTTCTAATCTCAGCTCTGTGACCCTGGGCAAGTCACTTCACCACTCTGGGTCTCAGTTTCCCCATCTTTAAAGTGGGGACAAGGACTCTTGAGAGGTTGAAATGACTTAATAATATGCATTAAGTTTGTAGGTTGGGATCTGGCATAAAGTACGGGCTCGTTAAGAGTAAAGGCAGTGGGTTTGGGCACCTGACAAACGCAAGGGCTGACCTCAGCTTGCTGCACAAGCTTGAGAATGAAATCTTCTCCCCGCAGCTCACAGGCCGTGCGTGACCTGTCCCCATCCCCTCCCTGCCCTCACCTCCTCCCGCGCTCACTCTGCTTCAGCCACACGGGGCTGCCTTGATGGTTCCTTCAACAAGCCAGGCATGGCCCTGTCCCGGGGCCTTTGCACTTGTACTGTGTCCTCAGATCTCCAGGCTGGGCCAGCGTTTGTTTACATGCTCCCATGTCGGGGAGCTCACTGTCCATCACCACCCCCAACAGTAATAATAATGGCGTATCAAATACCACCAGTAGTGTAAGGTCCTGGGAATAACTCCACAGCATTTGCTCCCCCCCCATGTGGTGTGTGTTGTGTCAAAGAAGCAGCGTGTGAATCCCAGATCCTTTCCTAGCTGTGCCCTTCGCCGAGCCCCGCTGTTTTGTGCCTCAGTTTCCCCAGCTGTAAAATGGAGGTTATAATGCCTCCTTCGTGGTCTCAGCAGCTGGTCTGGTACACAGCAGGCGCTTAATAGGTGTCCTTTGTTACTTATTGTCTGCCACAACTCCAGTGCCGGTGCATCCAAGGGGCGGGGGAGAGACGGTTCCAGCCTTACTGCTCTTAACCACGCTCCGCTCCACCCCACCCCCGCGCGCCACCACATGCAAATCACATGCAAACGAGATGCAAATAGAACGCAAATAACTGCTTAGGCTCAGCTCTGGCCAGCTGTGCGGCCCGAAACACGCGCGTGGGGGCGCCCCGCATCCCGCGGCCGAGCCCAGGCGCTGACCGCCGTCCAGCCGGGCTTTCAGCTCTCCGTGTAAATGTTTACACCGGGCTGGCCGCCAGGCCCCGCGAGGGCCCACACCAGGCAGCCGGGCGGGGAAATGTAAACGCGGGCTGGAGGCCGCTCAGTGGCGGGGAGCTTCTCGGATAGGGTGGAGGTGTGGAGGTGCGCCTGGGTTATTAAACATCTACTGCGAGAATGACGCGACTAGGCAGCCACAACACTGAGTAATCGGTGCCCTAATGGGGGACGCTTAGGGCACTGTGGGGGCCCAGAGAGTGCCCCTGCGCCGGCCTGGGGCTGGGGGGTTGGAGCAGTCAGGGAAGGCTTCCTGAGGGAGCCGCCATCCAAGCTAAGACTGAAAATGGAATGGGAATGGGAAGCAGTAGAGAAGAGAATGTTCTGGATGGAAGAACCCGCTTGTGCAGAGGCCTGGAGGTGGGTCGAGGGCAGCTGTAGTCCTTTGCTGCCCACTTCTGGGCATCAGTTTGTCTGGAGGGGAAACCTAGGCTCAGAGAAGGTCAGGAAGTCACTCCCAGGACATCAACATGTCTCAACCCCAGGGCTCTGGCCTCCCGGACTGTATTCAAAGCACCACCTCTCCTCGCCGCCATGGTCCCACAGTGCCCCCTGCTGGGGATGTCCTCACCTCCGTCCCCAAATTCACTGGGCTCCAGCCACCCCAGCCTCCCGGCTGGATTGGCCATCTGGGGTCACCTCCCAGGACCTTTGCACTGGCTGTTTCCCCTGCCTAAGGTGCCGTTCTCTTCTGCCTGGTCAACTCCTACCTTTGTTCAGGTCTCAACTTTCCTCAATCCTCAGGAAAGCACTCTGGGACCCCCAGATGGGGGTGGTTCCCAGGTTACCCCTGGCACAGTGCCCACCCCGTCCTTGGCAGCGTTCTTCACAACCTTGTTCAGTGGTTCCTTGATGAATCACTTCTATGTTATGATTGATCATTAAGCAGGAGTGGTTCAAAATCAGGGTCCCCACTGTATCTCCGGTGCCTGGTCCAGCACCCCGTGCCCGTTCATTTGTTGCCTGACAGACAGACGGAGGCCGTGTGGCTGACCATCCCGTGCACGCAGGCTGAGGATGCAGCGCTGGAAGGCAGTGGCCTTGGCCTCGGTGCTCTGCAGCTCCGTGCTCTCCATCTGGATGTGTTGGGAAGGCCTGCTCCTCAGCCACCGCCTCGGACCCGCGCTTGCCCCGCTGCGCCGGCCGCCTCGCACCCTGGACGCTCGAATCGCCCGCCTGGCCCAGTGTAAGCCCTCCCCCCTGTCTTGGGTCAGATACCCCCAACATCGCAGCGGCCACAATGGTGGAATTTCACGCAGTGGAGCGGGGCCACAGAGGCTTATTTTAGATGGGGTGGAGGGAGGGTGCAAATCCCCACAACGGCCTGGCAGGGGCGTCGGAGGGGATGGCCGCTGGGAACTGGGGTCTCTCGGCTCAGCTGTCACGAGGAATTAGGCTCTAGCCCTGAGGGGCCAGGGGACCAGATGGAGATTAGACCTGGGCATTCGGCCTGGGCGGCCACTGCAGCGCAGCGGCGGGGTGGGGTGGGGTGGGGGGGTGGAGGGAGAGGGAGGCCGAATCCGAGGCCCTGGTGACCTCCCAGGGTGGACAGGGACCAAGGGGAGGGGGAGACAGAGAGACCCCTAGAAATAGGAAGAGTCCTAGAAGTGGGGAGAGACCCGGAGACAGAGAGGCACAGAGAGAAGGATGGGAGAGAACGACGTGGGAAGAAGCTGGGAGGTATAAAAATGGAAACGCCCACCCCGGCGGGCGCGGCTGCCACGGCCCTGCTACCCATTCGCCCCTGGCGCCCGCGCTCTGCAGATTCTGTGGGGCCAGGGCGGTGCGTGGGCCTCGACTTCTTGCGCGCTCATCCACATGTGCACCCGCAAGGGCGGGGCGCGGGCGTGGCCCCCAGTGGGTAGGGGTTGCGTGCACGCCCGCACCCGCCCTGCTGGCCTACACAATCCTTCTTTCTTGTCCTCACAATGGACAAGGGTGGCCTCAGGCGCAGGCTCCACTTCCGCCCCTGCCGCTCCCCCCTACAGGCGGCAAAGTCCTTCCCAGGACACTGAGTCCCAGAGACCCGGGGGTGCCCCCCAAAGCTAGTGCCCCAGGCCCGGGGGGCGAAGCACCCGTGGTGGAATTTCAGGCACCGGGGAGGATCTCAGCCCATGGTTGGGTCCTGCCTGCCTGGCATCCTGTCCCGGGAACCAGCCCTACTCGGGGAAGGGAGTGGCTCCTGATCCCCTAAAGTCCCAATGTTCTAGGCCCTGGGACTAATGCGCTGATGGTGGAATTTCAGGCTTGGGCCAGGGGGGTGTGGACCTCATCTCTTTGTGTTCCAGACCCTGTGCACGTGGCCAGGCCTGCTGGAGGAAGGCAGGGACAGATAATACACTAGAAGATTATTCACTGTTTACTTGAAATTCACATTTAGCTGGGCATCTGGCATCTGTATCTTAACCAGCAATCTCTTGAATTAACACTCTAGATACACACCTTTGGGGTGGGCACACTAAATGGTGGAATTTTAGGCATCAGAAGTGAGCCAGGTTCAACCTAACCCCAGAGCAGGCAGTGCCGGCCACCCTGCTCCTGCCCCTGGGCATCAAGAACTCAAAAGATGCTGCTCGGTTCCCCCCCACCCCTTTCCACCCTCCCAGTCCCAGCCACAGTGGGGACTCTGCAAGTCTCACTGAGCAAACAAGGAAACTGGGGCACAGAACAGGGCCATCACCTGCCTGAAACTACAAGGCTGACAGTGGCAGAGCAAGGCTCCGAACCTGGGCTTGTCTGCTTTCTGAGACCCCCCTGTGGGAACAGACACACGCCCAGGGTGACAGACAGCCCTTCCCCCTCGGACCTCCCAGGAAACTATTTCTTTTGACGGCCAGGTGGCTAAACTCAGGATTTCCTCTCCCAACTGCAAGTGTGACTGCCACCTGCTCAGGGGCTGGGAGCCCCCTGCCTGCAGACCCACTGTCAACAATGCCTGCCACTGCAACGTCTGCACTTATCTCCTGGGGCTGAGGAGTACTGGGGCAGGGGCAGCCACTTGGGAACTAAATGTAGACTGTGGGGTCCTGGGGATCTCTGGCTCCGGGCACGAGCAGCTGTGGGAGAAGGGGGCTGGACTTGGGCCAAACCTGGGCACACGATGGAAGCAAAACTGCTGCTTGGGCTTCTCTCTCTCTGCCACTTGCACCTGCCTCGGGCACGTCTTTTCCCCTTTGGATGCCCAGTTTCCTCACCTGTAACATGGGGGTGGCCCAGCATAGGGGTGGGGGCAGCTGGGGCTGAGTAGGAACAGGGATTAGGATCACCACACCCCCTGCTGAGCCCTCCCTTTTCTTCAATGAGGTGAGAGCAGCTCAGTGAAAAGGGGCAAAATCCCGTGCTGCTCTGCATAGGGATGGGGTCCACAGACAGTGCTGGGGGCAGGGGGTGTCCAGAGGAAGACAGACACTCGAGTCAGCTCAGCTCAAGGTGGGGCAGGCTGGAATGTGGTACAGTACGTGCCAGGTTCTGAGCAGTCCATCGTAGGTGTAGGGTCCAGAGAAGGGTGTCAGTAGCCCTGGGGACCCAGCGTGCGGGTGTGGATATGCACCCCCCGGCACCGCCCAGAGAGGGTGCATGAGCGGGAATCCTGGAGCAAGATAAGTGGTCGGGAGAGGGTGCACTAGCACCTCTGAGTCTCCACAAGTGTCCTTTTTCTCAGGGAACAGCGAGAGTAGGGGACTCCTTGCCACCCACCCACCCACTGACCCCCACCCCATTCTCTCAACCCCCTCGCAGACCGTGCACTGCTGCAGGGCGCCCCGGACGCGGTGGAGCTTCGCGAACTGACGCCCTGGGCCGGGAGGTCCCCGGGTCCGCGCCGTCGGGCGGGGCCCCGGCGGCGGCGCGCGCGTGCGCGGCCGGGTATCCGGCCGTGCGGGCTGCGCGAGCTCGAGGTGCGCGTGAGCGAGCTGGGCCTGGGCTACGCGTCGGACGAGACGGTGCTGTTCCGCTACTGCGCAGGCGCGTGCGAGGCGGCCGCGCGCGTCTACGACCTGGGCCTGCGGCGCCTGCGCCAGCGGCGGCGAGTGCGGCGAGAGCGGGTGCGAGCGCAGCCCTGCTGCCGCCCGACGGCCTACGAGGACGAGGTGTCCTTCCTGGACACGCACAGTCGTTACCACACGGTCCACGAGCTGTCGGCGCGCGAGTGCGCCTGCGTGTGACCCTACCTCACCGGGCCTGGCGAGACGGCGGCCACGCCCCCCGCCCCGACGGCACCCACCGTCGCGCCTGGCAAGCCCCGCGACAGACTGCCCATGCACAGAAAATGCCGTCGAGAGCCCAGGACTCTCGCGATAACTGTACCAAGATAAAGTGTGGAAAATGGAGCCCCGGTTGTGATTACGCGCTCGGGGGGTGCCCACATCTTGGAGGCGCATGAGGGTGTACGGGGAGCAGGCGCCATCTCCATTGGGAAAAGGGGGACGGGTGCGGGTACCACCTGCAGGATGGTGGAAGGATTCCATTTGCTTAGGGGTAAGAGGAAAGTAGATGCAAAGAGGGTCTTGTTTCCGGGGTACAAAAAGGAAAGTGGGGTGAATGGGGGATGTCGGCAGGGACCTTCTCTCCCACCTCTCTACAGGTCCCCGTGCCCCTTCCCTCCCCGCCTCCCTGCAAGGTGTCCTTCTGGGGAGGAAAGGTGTAACTACAGTGCAGATGAGAAGACTGAGGTCCAGGTGGACCAGGTCTCCCTCACCCAACAGGCCTCCTCGGGCCTGGTCAACTCTCACCAGGGTGAACTCGGAGCCACTATCTCCTTTCACTAGCTAAAAATATAGCTCGCTGCCCATCTCCCTACGGGGATAGGTCTGGGGCGGGCGCCAACCCCATCCAGCCCGAAACCGGCGTCTGCTGCGGCACAGCCGGGTCCCCAGGGACCTAGGTCCTGGGGCCATAAAAGCTCTGGCCGGAGCCCGAGGGAGAATTTACGACAAGCCCCTGTGGAGGATGGAAAAAGTACGGTGCGATGTTTAGATTTGCCCGTGGTGTCACCTTGATGCTTGGCCAGCCCAGGACTGCGCCGGGGAATTGGGTTCCCAGCTGTCGGGGAGGGGTCGGCAGGTCGCACGGGCTGAGGGGCGGGGAAGAGAGTGGGTGCTCCCAGCCCGGAGCTGGCACCCGGGAGACCAGATGGCGTGGACCCCTCCCCTTCTTCCCCTCAGACTAGGGGGCGGGGGTCTCGAAGGCGCAACTCCCCCTTCCCATACAGCTTTCCCTAGGGCATAGTCGTCTCTCCTCTTCCCTCCCCCCACCCCAGACCGGGGCTCTCAGAGAACAGCCCCTTCCCTCCTTTACTGCTGTGTCTCCTACACGGGCCCCCTCCCCGCTTTTCCCACACATCTGAGCTCTGGCCTTCCCAGACCCAACCCCCATCCTGAAGCTGGAGGACTCGAATCAGAAGCTGCCCCCAGGGAGTCTCACCCAGCCAGGCAGGAACACCCCCAGCTCCCTGCTCCCCAGCACCCGCCACGCCCCCAGGCTGCAGTTGGAGACACTGGAGTCAGCTAACAGGCAGGACTTCCAGGGAGCTCCGAGAGCAGGGCTTGGAGGCCAGGTCCCAAACCGTGGGTGGCCTGCTTGGAAGGCAATTTCAGAACAGGCTGGCTGGCTGGGGCCCCCACCCATCCCCGCAATCTTCTGACTCTGAGGTTTGGGGTGGTGGATTCCTACACTGTTTGGGCTGACTCAGCCCAGCCATGCAGTGAAGCCAGAGTTCCCAGACGCTGGAGAAGCTGAGCCTCAGTTTCCCCACCCTAGAAGGCCCTGAGCCTCAGAGAGGGAAGTTGCTCAGCCCAGGACACACAGCAGGAAAATTGGCCTTGGAGCCTGGGTCTGTGGTCCCTGAAGCTTGGCTGCCTTGGTGTGCATGTGAGTGTGAGTGTGTGTGTGTGCGCGTGCGCGCAGCCTCCTGGGACCTCAGCCTTCCCATCTCCCACCCAGATCCAACCACAGGGCACTGGCCCAGCCCACCAGAGAACTGGAACGTAAACAGAGCTGCCCCCGCAGACCCCAAGGCTGGGGTTCTCAGCAGTGCGCGACACACACACACACACACACACACACACACACACACACACACACACACACACACACAGGACACACACACACACACACACACACACACACACACACACATTCACACACACAGGGCACAGAGACTGCCACCCACACAGGGCTTAGGATCACACGCAGACCCACGGTCCACATGCTTACATGCTCAGTGGTCAGGCACACTCAGAGAGGGGCGTCCTCAAGGTCACCTGCAAGAACACAGTGGCCGCCTGTTCAGTCACACACGGCCACGCCCACCCGCACTCCAAGCCCCACGTAGTCATCCCCTGTCACACCCGCTCTCACAGTCACACGTGCCGCGTCACACCCTCTCCCCTTGCCCTCCTTTGGGGGCAGTTCCTGCCCCTCATCTATCCTTGCCCTAGGTGTAGAACGTCCCCTTGTCCCAGCCCTGCCCCACGTGGACCCCCAGACAGCCCCGCCCCCAGTCCCACCCCCTCTGCGCCCCAGTCTCCCGGGCACTGTAGGCTGTTGAGCAGCATTTTTGGCCCCCTCCCACTCGATGCTATCAGCCCACCCCCAGGTTGTGACCACCACAGATGTCCCCAGACACTCCAAGCGTCCCCTGGGAGCAGAATCGTCCTGGAGTGAGAACCGCTGATCTGGAGTAAGGGAGGACACACCAGTTTCCTCAGAGCATTCCCATCTCGAAAATGGTGTCAGTATTGCCAACCTGCATACCCTCGAGGCAGTTCATTGACAAAGCAGCAGTACTCACAAGCCAATCCACCAGAGCCATCACCAGTGGGCGGGGCACCAAGGCCAGTTCCCCAGGGGGTGAGTGTCTTGGTGGGTGCCCAGCAGCCACAGCCCCTGGTAGGTGACATCCCCGCCCCCAGCAGGTGAAGCTCCTAGCAAGCGAGGTCCCACGGAAGCAACATTCCTGGCAGCAGAGGTGCCCAGTAGGGGAAGCCCCAGGTAAGGGAGCACTCCAGCCACCAAGGTCCCCAGATGCCAAGCAGCCCAGGCCCCAGGCTGGCTGGCTCACGTGGACCAAGACGTGACACTGGGCAGCGTCTGGTAGTTGGGATCCTGCTGCAGCCGCCAGAACATCAAGCCCCAGCCGAAGGATCTGGGCCGCAGCGTCTCCCGCCAGCGGAAGCAGCTTGGGTAGCGGGCGTGCTCCTTGACCAGCGCCAGCAGATAATGGGTCAAGTCCTTGGGGCTCTGAAAGTCTTCGACGTGGATAAAGGCTTCGGGTGGCAGGAACTGTTCATAGTTCCTCCTGCTGGGGCCCAGCACCACTGGCACTGCCCAGGCCTGCAGGGCGTTCCTCCACAGCTTCTCTGTGATACAGTCAGGGTGCAAGGAGTTCTTGAAAGCCAGGTAAAACTTGTACTGGGACAGCCTGTTGCTCATGACCTCCTGGGGCAGTGGCACGTGGGAGCGTCCATACACATCTATTTGGAGGTGAGGCTGCAGCTTCTGATAGTTCTGCACCCTGATCGAGTCCGCCCTCCAGCTGGCCACCACCCAGGCCACCAGCTTGGTCTTGGCCGAGACGTTCACCAGTGTGTCCACAGGCTGGCCAGGCCATGGCTCAAGCTAGCTGTACGGCGTGCAGATATCTGAGTCCTGGTGGCAGGACTGGCCACCAGTGAGGATGAAGTATCCGTCCAGGGCCTTCAGTTTGGGGCAGGTGCTGGGCAATTCCATGCTGAACCAGACCCAGCGCTAGCTGGGGGGGGCCGCAGGGAAGGCGTGAGCTGTGCCTTGGGCCTGGAGCTGACCTTTTGGTGACGCACAAGGACCGCATCCGCCCGAGGGTACTCGCTGCGGTTGACGGTCAGGTGGCAGTCGGCTGTGCCGGGCCACATCTCCGAGCAGCGGGACAGAGCCACTGGGGTGTTGAATGGCCACGTCCACAGCAGGAGACGCAGAGGCGGGCGGGTGGAGGGCCCCGCAGTGGCCTGGGAGGGGGCCCCCAGTTCGGGGACCCATGTGGGCTTGTCTCGGGACACAAGCAGGTAGGAGGAGAAGCACGGAGCCAAAAGCAGCTGCAGCAACAGCCCGCGTAGCCAGTGGCGCCAGGAGCATTTTATCTTGGCCCAGCCAGGTGGATCCATGGGTCAGAGAGGAGCTGGGAGGAGGGGACAGTGAACACAGCATCACTGCTAACAAAAATAGTAACACGTGCCCAGCAGGCAGATGCAGGTTACCCAAGTTCATCTTTACGAGTCCTGAGGTAGGAGACACTGTTCTTATCCCTATTTTACAGACGAGAAAACTGAGGCCAAGGACTCAATGCAAGAAAACGGCAGAACTGGAATTCCAACGAAAAGCATCTAGCTTCAGAGTCCACTTATTCCTACCCACTAGGCCACATGATCTCTGGACCTGGGATAGGTTCCGATGGCTCTCAGGTCCCACCTTGACCTTGACCCTGCCCTTTCCCAGCTTTCCCAGAGTCTTTCCCAGCCTAGGGAGAAGACAGAGCTGGTTACAAGATGCTCCCCAGTGCCCTGGAGCTGAGGCTTGGAGCCAGGGCTCTGTCTGGGAGGGGTACAATGTGATTATGTTGGAAGGTTATCTGAGGGCTCACCAGGTAGTGTAGGAGTTGGGGGAAACGGCATTCCTGGTGGACGAAACAGCCAACGCAAAGGTCCAGAGGTGACGGAGAGCCTGACGAGTTTATGGGGAGAGCACAGGAAGTGCTCAGGGAATAAGCGTCCAAAGATGGCCCCCCTGGTCCCGCACTGGGGGATCCTGGGCGGCCTCTTGGCCTGGCCGATGTCTTTCCACTCCCCGGCCCTTTCCGTCCCTGCAGGCGGTCACAAAGTCCTCCCAGACTCCAAACCCCAACCACCAGAGCAGAATCTAGGACTTCGGCCCTGCCCCGCTCCACTTCCTGCAGCCCTGGAGACACCCATTTTACAGATAAGAAAATGGAGGTTCTGAGCGATAGATATGTCTCGTGCCCAAATACACACAGCTACAGCCCTTGCGATCCAGAATCCAAACTCTCTCCTCTTAATGTAATTCCAAACTCCTCTCCCTCTTTGCAGGTGGAGCTCTGATCTACAGCCTGGCACTGTCCACTAGAACTTTCTGCTATCGTGGAAATGTTCTATATCTGCACCATCGCGTGCACCCCTATGGCTCTTGAGTCCTTGAAATGCAGCTGTTGTGTTGGACAGAGTTTTTAATGCTAAATTAAATTTTAAAAAGGTTCTCTCTTCTGTAAATCGAAGAGAACTTCAAGATAAAAAGTAAAGGCAAAGCCAAAAACAGCCTCTGATAGCCAATTCACTGA